ATACAGATGTTCCGTGCGCCCTAGTTTTACATATTAATTTAAAGTTAACTATATGCTTCAATTTTAACGTTTTTATCGAGCGTCTAGGCCGACATTGTATGAGCAAATTTTTGATCACATTATCATCCGCAGTGTAGTTTACAACAACATTAGCTGGTATTGGTTCTTTTTATCTGGGATTTTCATTAGAAACTAAAGTGAAAAGGCACAAGAGAGAAAAGTACATATGTTGTTTTTTGTTTGTTTGTTTGTTTTTTGTTACCTGATTCTCTTACAAGAAATATGAACTTGCGATAAAAGAAATCGTCTCGGCCTAACGGGCTCGACATTATTTTAGCAATAACACCCTCGATGTCGCTCCTACAAGTGTTATATCCTCGCAACTAACTCGGTTTTTATACTTTTAACTATTACATAACAAAAATGATACATTCAAAATCATTGCAATATAAGTTAAGCAGTAGAAATTCCCCACGTAAGACTTTTTCAACAGAGGTAACGTTCGATTTTATCTAATTCTATGGAGCATTTTATTCACACGGAATATTGTCTTGCACGTTTTATTACTCAAAATGTTCCATTGTTTTTATATTTTGCATGATACATTTATCTCTGTAGTAATAAGGTTGTTTACACAAATGCCCAATTTAGCAGTAATTACATAAGTTACCCATTACTCAGATTAAGACACCCTAGCTCTGCATCTGTTGACATCAAAAGTAAATCTGTATTGTTTCGTAATTGATAGAATTGAACTCGTAATTGGCGCAATGTACCGAGGATCCAGGATTTCCGGCAAGAGATGGAGGCGCATGGGAATTTAAGTTAAAGACGCGCACGCGGCCAGCTGCGTAGCTGTCAGTGGGGACGGATAGACACGTTAGAGATATCCCCTTCTATTTGCTGGGGTATGGGGCCTTCTTTCAGAAATGAAGATGTAAAATGGTGTATTCCAATGCATTTTGGGTAGTTTTACTAAAAATATCTGACACTAAATTTGAATGTCATGGTTAACCTCATCTCTCAAATAGTGTCCATTTTCATTATTAAAAAATCCGAAAAAACACGTCATGGTATCTTAAAATCGATACGCAATATATTATTAGAAATCTGTGCTTACATAGTTTAATTTAATATATTTTATTGCAACTATTATTTACAAAAGATACATGTACTTAAGGTTGCATTGATAATACAAAAAAAAAAAACACAACAAATATTCATTAAGAGAGATATAGTGCAAATGGGTGGTCGGGCTACAAGTTTTAACAACATTAACAACAGCCCTCCCCAAAACTTAGGCATTGAAGATATCATATTAATTCCGGTAATATTCATGCAATTATTTTCAAAGGCTAGTTACGAGAAATATGAAATTCGTTTATAAAGTATTAGGTTCATTGGCTTTTGTGAGTGAAACCATAGGAACTCGAGAACGGGACCGCCGATTGCGGCGCATATTTTCGACCGTGAAACGGTTTTTTTAAAACGTTTCTGCTACATCTAAATATCTTTTAGTATTATCCGAGTATATGGCCTCAAGTAATATATTAACAATTGAACCCAATCTGTCTTTTAAAATTGGTCAAATTTTACGGTATTATAAACAAGAGCCCGGTTTGAGCCGGGTGATGCTCCCCGAATAGGTTTTGGACACAGGAAAGTACACCTCTTATAGTTTCAGAGTTATGTCCCTAGAAAAAGTTTAAAGTGCGATAATTCCAAAATTAGGCAAGGCAGAGTTACGTTCTTTGCACTGCACTTCTTATCAATGCGATCTATCAACCTACAAAGTTTCTTGTTGACATCTCTTATGGTTTCCGAGTTATGTCCCGGACAACTTCAAAAAGTAAAAATAAACAATTACTCCAGAATTAGGCAAGGCAGAGTTATGATTCTTGTGCACTGCACATCTACCCATTGAGATATATCTACCTACAAAGTTTCATGTAGTTTTACAGCTATGTCCTGGACAAGATTTTTCTAAAAGGGGAGATAATTCAAAAATGAGGCTTAACAGAGTTATTGTTCTTTTGCACTGCACTTTACTCAATGAGATCTATCTACCTACAATGTTTCATCTTGATATCTCTAATAGTTTTAGAGTTATGTTCCGGACAAAGTTCAAAGTGTTAAAATTAACAAAGGGCAATAACCCCAAAATTAGGGGAAAAAAGAGTTATTGTTCTTATGCACTGCACATCAACTTATTGAGATCTATTCACCTACAAAGATTCATGTTCATATCTCTTATAGTTTTAGAGTTATGTCCCGGACAAGAGTTTTCTATAAGGAGAGATAATTCGAAAACAGGGCATAACAGAGTTATGGTTCTTTGACACTGCACTCCCCCTCAATGCCTTCTACCACTGTATGAAGTTTAAACAAAATATCTCCAAGGGTTTTCAAGTTATGCTCCGGACAAGACAACGGACGGACAGACGGTCAAGGCGCCGACTATATGATCCCCAAAATTTTTTCGGGGAGCATAAAAAAGACAAGGAGTGATATCTGCCATTCGCCGCAACGTTTTTACAAAAACAGTTGTTATGTTGATTGATCCGGTTCAGTTATAATCAGTGGACTTCTGGTCCTTCTTTTGTCCAAATTTGCATACGTTACACTGGTGACACAAATGGGCACAGGTCTTGGGGTTACCCTTCCTATCCCTTTAAAAGTAAAACATTTTTTTCCGAAAAAAAAATCCTAAATAAACCCTTTATGATATACGAAAAAATAGTGATAATAAATTGACCCTCTATACCTGTAAAAACATAGGTACCTTGTTTTTTACTGGTTATAAGATGAATTTATTATTATCTTTTTATAATTATTTTTTTATCATAAAGAGTTGATTTAGGAGGTTTTTCAAAAAATATCATTTTTTAAAGGGATGGCACAACTGGGCAAGCCTTTCCTTTTCAAAGGAAACTTTATTTCAATGTACCGTAAATTTGACTGATTTTTAAATTAGCAGATTATATTAAAATTGAGATTAAATAATTAAAGACCACCCGCTCAAATAATATGAAAAGATATTCAAAGGCCGCATTAACAATATGTAAAGCCGGTACGGATTCGGATTTATGCGCCGCAATATGCGGTCCTGTTCCAAGGTTTATATGAGTGAAACTACTTCACAAACGTTAAATTTAATTAACGGTTAAACGTTCTAATTTACAGTATGCTTGTTTCGAAACTTTAAGCGGCCCTAGTTGAATGACCAGCCAGTAAACCGAACCGGAATACACATAAAAATAAGGGGAACAAGTTAGTTACGTTGTTTATTAATCAGATAGTCCCATTATACCCCAAATAATGGGAGGTAATCCGAAATTTACTTAACATTATAATATTGACATACTTTGTTGAAACCGAAACAAGAAGGTAAATTGAAATTTATAGCGGATTTAAAGTTATTTACATGCACAATGTAGTGTTTAAGCACATTATTATCAGATCTGCTGATATATCACTATTAAATGAATACTTTTACCATGTGCACAGAACTTGAAATTCTATAAAATAACCAATCCAAAAATAATCTCTATATAGTGTTAATTTATACAATGTAGGGGTTATTTTTGGATATTACCGTTAAAGTTACATTTAATTAATTTCATAAAAAACTAAATAGCGACATTTCATTTATAAATTTGGTTTTATATCGACTCCAGGTCTTATTCTTGTGTCCAGACAACCAAAATGAGTTTTATTAGCATAAAAATAGGTAACCTCATTGTGGCGAAACTAGAAGTACAGTTTTTGTTTGCATGTGAAACCATCCGTACATCAATATTAAATCAACAAACATGACTATAAGTGGCAGTCCTAATTCTGCATTGTAACGGATGTTTTCATACAAATTTTATCTTTTTACGAGATGATTACTTTTACTGAACCCCAGGTCTAGTGCACCGTGAAGCTTAAACGGTTAAAGTGTGTTTGCACAAGAAAATATCACATTTGCTGTGTTCCGGTTAGCAACTATAAAACTGTGACGAAGCGCATACACGAGCTCATTATAGTCTTCATTTGCATGTTAAAATTCGTATACGAACTTTAGTGTTACCGTGGGGTTTCCCGTTTAAAATCCTAATTTAGGAACACTATTTAATGAGATTTACAAAAAATACTATTAAACAAGTTAATGAAACTGTATAATGTTTGATTTTTAGGCCGACGGTAAAATATTTTTACATATTTATTTAATGTAGCTTAAATATTGGTTATTTGATAGAATTTCAAATTACTGTGATAAGACCCTTTAAAAGAAAAGACAAAATGTATAACATTATGCTATTTATATGTAAGAAATGAAATAACTTAGTGTTTCATTACACTTTACACCGTATCACGATTAAGTGATTTCATATAACGATAACATCAATCATGTAACTAAGTCAAATTTTAAAGACGAAAGAAGGCAAAGGTAAGCATTGATCTTAAAGCGTCTTATTTATAGTTGAATTATATATTCTATATCTTTTAAACACTGTACAAAATGGTAAAATTTATTGGAGTTATCTGTCATCAGATTAATTTTACTAAAACTCACACTGAAGAACATAAGATAAAATGTAACATGAGATAAAAAAAGTTGTTTTTTATGATCTATGTTTACATGCATTACCTGTACAGGGAATTATCGAGTGTATTTTATAATAATTTATATGTTAAAGTAACTGTTTAAGGAATTGTCAAGTGCATGATTTATTCATGGATTTGTGAAAATATTTCTTTTTAAAATCACTCAAGCGCAAAGATGGATCGTAGATATTGTTAACAAAAGTAAAGCAGTTGGTGATTTAGAATTACTTAAACCTCTTTCAAACATGGATATGGACGCATTGTATATCTTTTTATGAAGATACAGTTGATACATTGTAAAAGATATCGGTCTTTCATTTCATACGATAAACAAAAAATATTGTATAATTCAGTTTATGCTTTCAATGAATACATTAATTTAGAATAGATGAAAAAAAATCTATTCCAGAATGGCAGAAGGAATCAATGTTCAATCGTTTAAAGACGGTTCTGATGCAGACTTTGAATTCACGTGTTCACCTTGCAGCAAAGATAATATAAGAGAAGAGGCTAACAAGTATTGTCCTGAGTGTCAAGAATATTTGTGTAATACATGTACAAGATACCATGGCCGACTTAATGCTACACAACAACATAAACTGTTGGATAAAAATGATGCCAATCGAGGCTTACATATTGCTAGGACAAAATGCCAGTACCACGCTGACCGAAACATTGAAATGTACTGCAAAACACATGATATGGTTTATTGTGCAATGTGCATTGCAACAGAACATAGGTTATGGTTATATTAAACATATATAAACATTTCAAGTAGTATTGTTTGCGAGACCTGGTTTATTTATGGCTTATTTTGTTTCTACTACATTGTACATGTATATATACATTGTATATATCATGAAGTTTAGTATTCAATTTTCGATCTGTGACTCGGATCAAATGTAGTCTGTAGTTTCAGCAGATTATGGTTCAACTGTACTAAATAATATTAAATAAATATTAGCTTAAATTATTATGTGATATTTTAATTATATTTTCTAATTATAATTAACCTCCGGCCTCATTTTATATTGTAGGTCTTGTGATGGAGTAAACAAGATTGAAGATGCTTCTAAACAAAGCGTAACCCAAACGGAGATTCAAGCTCTATTGGATGAAACAAAAGTTGCGCATGGCACTGTGAAGTCCCTGGCAGTAAAACGGAAACAGAATTTAACTGCTTTAGACAAACAGAAAGTACTTATTGAAGTGAAACTAGATGCTACAGAGACAAAACTTATAGAACATATAAGAAAATTGAAAAGAGAGACAGCAAAATGTTTAAATGATAAATATTCTACATTGAAGGAGGAACTCGTGTCTTCTATCAGTGTATCAGGTCGAACAGCTGAAGACTTGAAGCAAACTACGGAACAACTGCAAATGATGGATAGTATGAACTTAGAGCAGCAATTTGTTCGGATGAAATTGATGAAGAAGACTGTCAAAGATGCAAACACTGTTTGTACAGAAGGTGCGGCAGAAGGAACAAAATTTATCGATTTTACTGAAAATAAAGAGCTGAAGGACGTCATCACAAAAGCAAATTCTATAGGTGACTTGACAACTGGAATTTTGGATGAGCAGATTGTGAAACAGAGGCAGTACAAAATAAAGTCAACGAAAGAGATCAATTTGAAGCAGACTTATGACTTATGGAATTGCTACATATCTGATATCTGTAAACTTTCTGATGGTATGATACTTCTGACTGATGATTACAATAACAAATTGAAAAGACTCAACACTAATGATAGTGTACAAAACATCTATCATTTTGATGCTATGCCTACATGTTTATGTTGTGTTAGTAAAAGTGAAGTGGCTGTGAAATTAAACAATAAAATACAACTCTTTTTCCGTTGGCTCATCATATCTATCCAAAGGAAGGACTATAGTTATAGAATACGGTCATCAGTTAGGATTAACAATGTGTTGTGGTGATCTATGGTCATCAGCCTCAAATGGTGTTAACGTATACAGTACTTCATCTAATCTTGTAAAATATATTGCCAAGGATCAAAACGGGAAGTTTATATTTAAATCCAGTGTTACGCATATGGCTGCCACTCCTGACACAGTGATCGTAACAGATGGCTCTGATGGAGCTGTTTGTCTTAACAAGGATGGTACGGTCATTGAAGAGCTGAGAGACAGTAGATTGAAGTGTACTAAAGGTGTATGTGTAGCTGATGATGGAACGATATTTCTATGTGGTTATCATTCACACAACATCGTTATGTTCAACAGGGATGGTAATTGTCTCGGAGAACTAACGGGGAAAGATTCTGTCTTGAAAGCACCAGTCAGTATGTGCTTCGATGGGACAAACAATAGGTTAATTGTTGGAGTTTACAACAACGATAAACTATTTGTAATCGAATTTGCTTAAGATAGATCGCAAAAATTTCAACTTCTAACCGGTAAATTCCTTCAAAGAAATTTCTGCTGGATTGAGATGTTTCACAAGCTTAAGAAATAAATCTAATGTATCTTTTGGCTATTGATGCGAAATAACTATCTATGTTGTTTAGTACTTGGTTTATATTGATTTATATTGTTGTTTTCAAACAACTGAAAAAGTCGGGTCATAAAATCAATATGTGAATTGTTTAAAATGTTATTTGCATGCAACATTGTTTTAGTCTTTCGATGCACATGTGTTAGTCCTAAACGTTGTTTAGAAAATAGAAACGTTAATTAAAAATATATTTTAAACTTTTGTAGAACAATCTTTGTAACACAATTATATCATTCTTCTATAAACAAGATATAATGCCTGTCAGTTTATATGATATAAAATCTTGCTTGAAATTGTGTCATTTGTTGCAATTAAAATTAACAATTAGAACTCTGTAAGGGATAGATTTTGAGAAATATTAGAAGATGATGCAAAACGAACTTTTATTATTCTTAAACGTTCAGGCTTTAAATGAACATGTATCAAATTTAACATGTGCATATTCGGATTTTTATTATGAATGTTAGTAAAATGTAATAATCATGATTTTAAGATACATTATTATGTAAATATATTCAAAATGTCGGACAGTTACTTTTATTTTCGTTTATATTCACAAAAGGAATACAATAATTTATACATTCTGTAAAATTCACAAATGTTACTTACATGCTATAGACTTAGTTGCCATTTTTTAAATTCCAAGAAAAATACTTGTACCTACTCGTAAGTACCCCACAAGAATAAGACCTGAGTAAATCATACTATTTTGAATTTTTCCAAATGACATAATTACAATTAACGTATGAAGTATGAAAGTAAATGGTCGTTATACTATGTATAATGTATTAATGGTTATATGCTGATTGAAGTGGTAGGAGTTACTCAGTAATTACTTTTGTTTTCATTATTTACTTGATAAAGAATTGTTATGTATATGATCGTTTTACTGTCCAAACAAACTGTGAACTTTCTTCAAATAAAAGAAATCATAAAAAAGCCGTGATTGAGAATCAACGCAGATCATCACTAAACTAGCAACAGAGATATCCACTGTGTCGTTGAGGCATTTGAATTTCACGAATTTAAAAATGACATAAAGGTGTATTATACACGCCTAATTTAAATTCCTTCTTCATTTCAAGTTACGAATAAAAATAAATCTCTATATATCATATCTGTTTACATTGTTTTTGTATAGTGAAATATTTTAAGCTTCAATCCATATTAATATGTCGAAACATTTTTTAAACAAAATAGATAGTTAAAACAAGCGGATTTCTCTGATATACATGTATATGGCAATATGAATTGTACTTCGGGACCTCATTTGAGTGGCCTTCGAATTTAACAAGAACGGCGGTTAAGATGAAAACAAACAAGACATTAATCGCTCACCTAAATACCATTGTTAGCAAAAGTTATAATTTCTTTGATGTAGAAGCAGGTGAATAGTTCACATACAAGGTCACCGAGACTTACATACAAAGTGTACAAGCACTTTAAATTTGAAGATTGAAACTTCAGACAAATAGGCACTTAAAGAACTGAAAGAGTTGTAATACACAATGCATTTGTCCAATATCAAAAGTCTTTGTCTTGTGTATTCTAAGGAGAACATGTATCTTTTCAATATAACAATTTAGTAATGCACAGTGTGCAATATCATTCTTTTTACTCCAGGGCCATGATTTATTCATTTTTGTAGAGGTCCACTAGACAAAGTTACATGTTTAATTTGGAAATAAAGTTAACATTCTAACAATTTAAAGGAACATTTTCTCTGCGTCTGAAAATAAAAAAACAAACAACAAAAAACAACAACAATAACTGACTTTATGACAAAATGGTATGACATTTTATGTATGTAATTAAAACTGATGTTTTGCTGATGAAATAAATTCTATCTGTATATATTGTAACAGATCGATTTTTCATTAACTTACAAAAATATAATTTGTTTACTTTCCACAACGCTTTATTTCATGGTGGCATCCATTTTGATTGCCTTGCCAAGTGCATTATATAAGAAGTGATTTGATTGGCTCTTATCAATTATAATAAACAAATCGATTTTTAGATTATCTTTATGAATAACCAATCAATTGTTTGTTTATTGTCTGGAAGCAAATAAATAGCCGAAACTTGTCATTGATAGTTAGTTCGGTGCTGTACCGTCCAGGTCAGTACAACAAGGCTCAAGCCTTGACTTTAAATAAAGACTTCGGTCTTAGAGTAAACACTTTCAAGTGTTAATTTAAATCGACTGTTTCTATCAATTTATTCATAAAGCTGTATTAATCATAAATAGTAATCTTAAATTCACTTTAAACTATTTAATAAACTTTCATTATATTACATAAACAATTGGGACTTGATTAAAAGATTGTTGTTTATTTAAATTTACTTAGTTGTTACTTGTATCCCAACAACAAATCCACAGAATACATGTTCCTTATTACGGCCAAATTGTGATCGCTATATGTCCGAACAAATCTCATTTAAAACTGCCACTATTACAATATCTCTATACTGTACATTTTTGTATTGTAAATATTTGTTGGTATACACGTGTGTTATCAAAGCAGAATACTATTAAGATGAGAATGTATAACTAGCAACCCGAATTCATTCAATTTGCTACTTCTTCTTACTTTTCTCTTTCAAATACTGTATTATATTACTATATTTGTATGAACAGGAAGCGAGAAAAAGTATAATTAAATGGAAAAAAATGGACGAGATTGGACAGGCAATGAAATCGTTCCACCATTTACTCATTGAATAAAACGATGTACGACTTCGTTATGCAACTTTACATAGGATGGAAATTGTTTTGACAGACAAACTTACAATTGTGTGCAAGATGTTATGGCCAATTTTACGCCTCAAAATGCATTTCATTCACTTAAAGTACCTGTTTCCCAATTGTACTCAACACCAAAAACAACATTTTCGACTTTCAGGCCTAAACAGAGAGACCTACAAAGCAACTAATAACAGAACAGTATGTTTTTAAACACGTGTTCCGTGCGGTCTAGATTAACACATAAATTTAACGTTAACTGTATGCTTACCTCATATTTACCATTTTTACCGAGCGTGTATGCCAACATAATTATTATGAGCCCAATGTACGATTTTGGTCACATGATAATCCGCAATGTAACTTTCAACATCATAAGCTGGTATTGGATCATTTTATCTGAAGGTTCCATTTGAAACAAAAGTGAAAAGGCACACGAGAGAAAAGTGCATATGTTGTTATTTTTTTTTTCATGATATCTATTACAAGAAATAAGAAATTGTGATAAAACAGTTATAATACTAGTATAATATTATGAAACTCGTTAGTAACAGGGGTATAACACCGGCTGGGATGTCATCTCTGGATGTTTTTGCTAAAGAAATCGTCTCGGCCTTACAGCCTCGCCATTTTTTAGCAACAACACCACTCGATGTCGCCCCTACCAGTGTTATATTCTCGCAACTCACTCGTTTTATATACTATAACTATTTCATAACAGAAACAAGAGCTGTCACAGGATACTGGACGTACAAAACTATGAAAGAAAAATCAATTATTATTTTTTTTTCTTCTTATGACAGGAAGTTATAGTTTTTAACATAAATTCAAAGGTGAAGGGGGAATAATTCTGGAAAAAGTCACACGAGAGTCATCGACCTTGTCACATAACATGTGTGTAATGATAAAAAATGTATATTTGAAATTTGAAGTAGATACCTTAAAAAGTAAAGAAGTTATAATATTTCTTTCAGAAAATTCTAAGTTCAATGGGAGATAAATTAATCTGAAACTATTGCTTCAAGAGTTATGACCCTTGTCACATAAGATGTGCTTGATGATAAGGAATATGTATTTGAAGTTTGAGGTAGACACCTTTAAAACTAAATAAATTATAGTAAAAATATTATTTTTCAAGTAAAACAATCTACGTTAATGGGGAGATCTTTTGTAATATTGGTGCTAGAGTTATGAACCTTGTCACATAAGATGTGGTTATTGATACGGAAAATATATTTGAAGTTTGAAGTTGATACCTTAAGAAAGGAAAAATGTTATAGTGAAAAATTCTTTTACTGCATCAAAACTTTGATCTGAAATCTGGACGGGGCAAATAAGACAGCTCTTCGTATAGCTATATAGTCGAGCTAATGAAACATACAAATCATTTGCAAAGCAGTAGAAATTCCCCAGGTAAGGCAAACACGTTGCATTAATAATATCTGTCATATTTTGCGGTTCGGATCGGAATATCCGTCCCGAGGTGACCCGCGCATTGGGCGGTAACGAGGCTTGTCGAGTTACCGCCCATGGGCGGGTGACCGAGGCATTTAAATTGAAAACGGGTTATAATTTAACCCTTTAAATCCTTTCTTAACTTTTCTCTCGTGTGCCGGATGAAATTTCCGATATGGGTAAAACTAACGGAAACGCCAGTCTGATATGCAAGAAATATCTTTTTGAACAGAGGTAACGTTCGATTCTTCTATTTTTTTTTGCAGAATTTTATGCACATGGAATATTGTCTTGCACGTTTTATTTTACTCAAAATGTTCCATTGTTTTTTTATATTGCATGATACATTTATTCCTTCATGCTATTTTATCTCTATGGTATTCATTATGTTAACACAAATGCACAAATTAAATTATCAGTAAATGTATTATTAGCTGAATGACCGATGGTCAGTTATTACCATAACACTATTGAATACAGAACAGATTTATTCTAAGTACTAGAGCATATGTTTACATGTTAAAGCAATCTATCAAACTCGTATCAAAGAGACAAGTCTACACCGAGTTAAACCCACGTGACTAGAGAGCATATCATATTGGCAGTAAATTCATTAGTAATTATACCCTCTGCTTTTGTTGACATCAAAAGTCAATCTGTTTTGTTTTTCATAGATGATTACTGTGGTATTTGGCGCAATATTCCGAGGGTCAAGAGATTGAGGCGCATAGGAATTTTAGTTGCCGACGCACGCGTCCAGTTGCGTAGCTGCCAGTGGGAACAGATAGACACGTAGAGATTCCCCCTTCTATTTGCTGGGGTACGGGCCTCCTTTCAGAAATGAAGATATAAAATAGTGTTTTCCAATTCATTTTGGGGCGTTTTTGTTGCATTCAGACACTCAAATAATTTTATTAAAAATTAAAATATCTGCCATTTAACTTGAATGCCAGTGTTATCTCCATCACTCAAATAGTGTCCATTTTCATTATCAAATGATCCGATAATCACGTCATGGTATAGAACATAATGAATACATTTATTCTATATTGCTCGATGACATTGGAACTTGCATTACGCTTGATTTCGTCTTGCTTTATGATATTTGAAATATGCCATTTTGCATTACTTCATTCAAATTTGCGTAGTGACTATAATTCTTTCATTGAGTGATAACTATTGAACTTGCTCAAGCCATTTATCAAGTCATAAAACTTTATGTATAAGCTACCTTTCTCCATGCTCTATACAAATTTACGGTTAAATTCATTTTTGTATTACTTTTTTTGTAAAAGTCGTTCAAAATCGACTATTTTTATTCCCTGCTTCCATTTGTACACCGAAGATCACTGATGGATTTTGGTAAACGTACCTTAAATGATTTATCGCTCGCATGGCGTGATTACTGTTAGCTTTCAATGACTTCCATTATTAAAGTCTGAGCTTTTGGATCATGTTTGGTCATCTGACATTGTATATACACAATTTAAACAATGTATAGCAATTGTGAATTGTTAAGGGGCGAGAATTCTATTATCGAGCTCTCATCGAAATTTTCTGTACAGAAACCGCGATGACCATACAACGGTTTCCTTTTTCGAACATAAAAATACGTATCAAGCACTAAAATATATAAACTGCCCCCCTCAAAAAAAGATCAATATCAGTAGAAAGGATTATGCAATATAATTTTGTATATGTATGTATACAGTCTTATAGAAAAAAACATACTTGTGGGGTTATCTAATGGGGGTACTTATTCAGTTGTTGATTCAGGTCATGGCTTACGGGCTGCAACCCCCCACCCACAGCTCAGCCAACATATACGTTCATTAGCTGGGCTTGAATATAAATGTGTCAGATTCACGCAATGCATTCGATCGGAACAAATGTTTTCCACTGTTAACGGCTAGGTCCTAGATATTTTAATGCCATTGTTAACATCACAAAATTAAAATTGATACGGCATTAACCTGTTCAAAGGCAAAAATGGTACCAGGATCGATAAAAGTTACCGTTTTTACGACGGCTATGTCATTAATTCCTCTGAAATGTTACACTTTTAGCGACCCATCGAGCAAATAAAAAATTTCTTTATCATGAAGCATTTTATCAAATATACGACAGTCTATTTTATCACTTAACCCTTTACCACATATATACGCGAAACAATGCACTTTCGACCCTCCCCCTGTTTTAGGCCTGAAATAGTGAAAAAATGTCCTTTTTTGCCCAAAACACATGTTTTCGTTTGAGAAATGTTGCTAAAAAAGTGAGCACTTTTTCGGCGCCACCCCCATCCAAAAGATACATCAGGGGGTTGCCAGAAGGGGGATGTGCCCCCTTCTTTTTTTGAGATTAATGTTCCAATAGATGTAGGTTTAGCTCAATAATATGTATGCAAACTTTATTCGCTCATTCAGTTTGCCCAGAATAATTAGTTGTAGTGAAATAAGTAGTTGCAAATGATTCATTCGCACGGATGAACAATACCTTCAGCATGGTTGAAACAATGTTATGAGTATACATATAAATAATATTTATGATATAATCTAAAACTATCATCATTGAGATATATAAACATGCATAGAGCTTTTAGGTCGGAATGTAGAGCATTTCCTAATAAAGACACGAACAGCAATGTCGATATTGTCTTGTCAAGATTATATGGGTACTCAGTAATTATCCTTTACAGAGAAATAAGAATTAAAAAACCGCGGTATATGATATTTAAATCTTACCTAGACATATATTATTTTGTCTGACTTTATAATTTTTAACCTTTATAACAACTGAGAACCTTTGAAATCAAGTTAATACTGTAGGATATTTTTCTTAGCAATGACAATATTTTCTCTCAAATGCTCATCATTTATAAAAGGCGCTTTAATAGACTGTTTACGTATAAATAAGGAAAGAAAAATTTAGTAGCGTTTCACTTCTAATACCCGATAACTAGTAGTTTTATAGGTCGTGAACTTCTTACGCTACACAATTTTAATGAAATCGAAACAAGAAGGTATGTACGTTTTTTTTTCTAGATTTGCCTTTCATGTTTTAAATCTTGTATTTTAGCAAAGCAGGCGACACTTCAGTATGATAACATTATACTGACATGTATAATTGTTATATTGATAAATTATACATTTAATATGTATCCATGAATGGGCTAGAGTCTATAGCCAATGAAAGAAAAATAATGTTCTCAATACAGAGGCGGATACAGAACATGGTTTCCTTGGGGGGGGGGCTGACATATGGGTTGAAGGTTTTGATAAAAATGACGCAACAGGCGAAAAATTGTGCACTTTTGTTTGAAGATTTGGCCAGCATCTTGTTCATTAAAAAAAATTGCAATTTTGATGTGTTTTATAGGTCATCTTATGAGTGGCAATGCACTTTGCTTATATATGTGTATATGATATAGTATGGAATTAAGAAAATATTATAATTGGGGTGGGCCTGGGAGGTGTGTCCCCTCCCATAGACTGAGAAAAATTTGAAATATGAGGTTGAAAATGGTGTTATTTCCTTGACTTTCTAGTGCTGTTTATGGTACCTTTTGGATGATTTTACATCACATTGTATTTTGATGTGTTTTATAGGTCATTTTATGAGTGGCAATGCACTTTGCTTATATGTGTGTATATGATATAGTATGGAATTAAGAAAAAATATATGTAATATATGGGCCTGGGAGGGGTGTCCCCTCCCATAGACTGAGAAAATTTTGAAATATGAGGTTGAAAATGGTGTTATTTCCTTGACTTTCTAGTGCTGTTTATGGTACCTTTTGGATGATTTTACATCACACTGTATTTTGTATGCAAGGTCTTTCAAATAGAATTCCCCTGGTGTTAAGTAGTAAGCATTGTATGCGCGACCGTTGATAAAAATAACTGATTGGATACCAAAAATATTGGTTGTATTTTTAATAGTTCTTCTGTCAAAGAAGTAGCAACTCTATTTTACAATAATTCTTATATTAAAATTACTGTACAAAAGTTATCAAGTGCATGATTCTATTAATGTAATTGTGAAAATATTTTCTTTTAAAACCACTAGGCCCAAAGAAAGATCGTAGATATTGTTCATTACAGGATAGGAGAGAATAACATGTATGTACACAGTAAAGATGTGTGTGATTTAGAATTATAGCCTCTCTCAAACATGTATATAGAATATCTTTTTATCAAGATGCAGTTGTTATATTTTAAAGAATTTCTGTATTTGATTTCATGCGATAAACAACTAAATATTGTACACTTCAGCTTTTAAGAAAGATAAAGATTTAGAATAGATAAAAAATATTTATTCCAGAATGGCAGACAGATCGTTAAAAGACGGTTCGGATGCACATTATGAATTCACGTGTACACCTTGCAGCAAAGACAATATCCGAGAAGAGGCTGACAAGTATTGCCCTGAGTGTCAAGAATATCTGTGTAAAACATGTACAAGATACCATAGTCGACTCAAGGCTTTACAGCAACATAAACTGCTGGATAAAAGTGATGCTAAACAAGGTGTTGTTGTTTCCAGGATTAAATGTCTTTTCCATCCAGACAGAGAAATTGAAATGTACTGCCTTACACATGATATGGTGTACTGTCTCCTGTGTATTGCAACAGAACATAGGTAATGATTGTAGTATATATAATTTTAAAACATATTAGTTACTTTCTTTTATAACGTTTTGTTAATAAAATAGTTGATTAAGTTTCTTAGCCTCCAGTTTGATCATATACAACATTTAGGGATCAAAAATACTTCCGGTAAAATTTGGATTGTGAATGCACATAGGAATATGAAAATTATATTTAAAGAATGTTGATAGATTAGACGCATACTGTCCATTGTAATTAAATCAAAATGGAAAAGTTATTCACTGAAAGGTTTTAGCAAAAGGCACTGTGTACTGTCAATATATTAACATAGATAGTTATTCATTATAAAGCTTGCTAGGGGTTTGGACGGTAGCTTGCAATACCACTACATGAACAGGCCCAATCACACCGACCCTTTTCAGTTTTGCCGTTTTTGGCGGTCTTTAGAGATTCTGCTTTTGCTTTTGTTTGAATCAAAATTGCATATTAAATTGTACCTTAATTACAAATTGTAGGTCTTGTGACGGAGTAAACACAATTGAAGATGTGTCAAAACAATGTGTCACTCAAGCGGAGATTCAATCGCTATTACATGGGACACAAACTGTACAAGACAAGGTGAAGTCACTTACAGTTAAACAGAAACAAAATGTAACTGCAATAGAGAAAGAGAAGGAAGCTATTGAAGGGAAACTAGATGATACAGTGACAAAACTTATGGAACATATTAGAACATTTGAAAGAGAGACAGCAAAATGTTTAAATGATAAATACTCTACATTGAAGGAAGAACTCGTATCTGCTACCATTGTATCAAGTCGCACAGCTGAAAACTTAAAACAAACCAAGGAACAACTGCATACAATTGACAGTCTTGACTTAGAGCAGCAATTTGTCCGAATGAAATTGATGAAGAAAACAGTCCAAGATGCAAACACTTTTATAACAGAAGGTGAGGCAGAAGGTACAAAATTTATCGTTTTTACTGTAAATAAAGAGTTGACGGACATCATCACAAAAACAAATTCTATAGGTGAAGTGACAACTGGAATTGTCCATGAGCAGAAATTGAAACAGAGGCAGTACAAAATAAAGTCAACGAAAGAGATCAATGTGAAGCTGAGTAATGACAAATTGGAAGGTTACATATCTGATATCTGCAGACTTCCTGATGGTACGATCCTTCTGACTGATTGTTACAATAACAAAGTGAAAAGACTCAACACTAATGATAGTGTAGAAAACGTCTATGATTTTGATACAAGAACTACAGGTATATGTAGTGTTAGTAACAGTGAAGTGGCTGTGAAATTAAACAACAATAAAATTCAAATATTTTCCGTTGGCTCATCTCTGTCCAAAGGAAGGACAATAGATATACAACACGGTGGACAGTTAGGATTAACAATGTTTTGTGGTGATCTATGGTCATCAGCCTCAAATGATGTTAATGTATACAGTACTTCATCTAATCTTGTTAAATCTATTGTCAATGATCAAAACGGGAAGTCTATATTTAAATCCTGTGTTCAGAATATAGCTGCCGATCCTGACAAAGTGATCGTGACAGATTGCTCTGATGGAGCTGTTTGCCTTAACAAGGATGGTATGGTCATTAGAGAGCTGAGAGACAGTAGATTGAAGTATACCGCAGGTGTATGTGTAGCCGATGACGGAACGGTATTTCTATGCGGATTCGCATCTAACAACATCGTTATGTTCGATAGTGATGGTAATAGTCTCGGAGAACTGATTGGGAAAGACTCTGGCTTGAAAAAACCAGTCAGTATGTGCTTCGACGGGACAAAAAATAGGTTAATTGTTGGATTGCTCAACAAAGACACCCTATTTGTATTTGAATTTGCTTAAGATAGATCGCAAAACTTTAAACTTCTAACCGGTAAATTCCTTAAAAGAAATTTCTGCTGGATTGAGATGTTTTACAATCTTAAGAAATAAATCTAATGTATTTATTGGCTATAGATGCGAAATAACTATCAATATTGTTTAGTACTTAGTTTATATTGATGTTTTCAATAAACTGACAAACTCGTGTCATAAAATCAATATGTGAATTATTTAAAATGTTATTTGCATGCAACATTGTTATAGTCTTTCGATACTCATGCGTTAGTCCTAAACGCTGTTTAGAAAATAGAAACGTTAATTGAAAATATGTTTTATAACTTTTGTAGAACAATCTTTTTAACTCTATTATATCATTCTTCTATAAACAAGATATAATGCCTGTCAGTTATACATGATATGATATAAAATCTTTCTCAAATTGTGTCATTTGTTGCAATTAAATTAAAAATTAGAACTCTGTAAGGGATAGACTTTGAGAAATTTTTGAAGATGATGCAAAAGGAACATGTATTATTCTTAAACGTTTTATGCTTTAACTGAACATGTATTAAATTTACATGTGTATATGCAGATTGATTTTGTGTGATGAATGTAAGAAAATTTTAGTAATCATGATGTTAAGTTAGATTGTTATGTAAATATGTTCGAAAAGTCGGAACATTACTGTAGGTTGGAAATTTTATCTTCGTTTATATTCACGAAAGGAATACAATAATTTTATATACATTTTGTCAAATTCAAAAATGATACTTACAATAACATGCTATAAACATATTTGCCATTTTTTAAATTCAAGAAAAATACTTGTACAACTCGTATTTGACAAGAATTATCATGAGTAATAATCAAGTAATGAATGAAATCATACCATTTTTCCAAGAACAACAATAATTACAATTAACGTATCAACTATGAAAAAAATAAGATGTGTCATGCCTACGTATTATGTAGTTAATGTTTATATGCTATCTGATAGTAAGAATATAAATTGTATGTATACAATTTCATGTTTAATAAAGTATATGTATGTATGCGTGCATGTGTGTGTGTGCTAAATGAAGTGGTAGAAGTTACCTAGTATGCATAATTAGTTTTGTTTTCATTATTTTCTTGATAATGAATTGTTATATGTTCGTTTTACAGTCCAAACAAACTGTAAACCTTCTTGAAATAAAAACAATCATAAAAAGAGCCGTGATCGAAAATCAAACTCAGACCGCTAAACCGCAACTGGCAACAGAGATATTCACTGTGCCATGGAGGCATTTGAATTTTACGAATTTGAAAAAAGACATATAGGTGTATTAAACACGCCTTATTTAAATTCTTTCTTGGTTTCAAGTGACGAATTAAAAACGTATCTTTTTATATCAAATATGTTTACATTCTTTTTGAATAGTTAAATATTTTGATCTTCAATACAATATATGTCAAAACATTTTTTTTAAAACAAAATAGAGAGTGAGATAGTTAGAACAAGCGGATTTCTCTGAAAGAGTGGCAATATTAATTGTTTTTAGGAGAAATTCAAATTTAACTAGAACGGTGGTTAAGGTGAAAACAAAAAAGGGGTTATCATTGACATTAACAGCTCACCTATATGCCATAGAAAAAGTGATAATTTCTTTGATGTAGATGCAAGTGACTAGTCAACATATAAGGTCAAACAGACTCACACACAAAGTTGAAGATTGTAACTTTAGACAAATGGGACACTTGAAGAACTGAAAGAGTTTCACTAAGCAATGCATTTGTCAACTTTGAAAGGTCTTTGCCTTGTGAATTCTAAGGAGGACGTGTATCTTTTCAATTTAACAATTTATGCAATATCATTTCTTTTTACCCCAGTGGCATGATTTATTTATTTTTGTAGAGGTCCACTAGAAAATGTTACATGTTAAATATATGGAAATAAAGTTAACATGCTTACCATTTAAAGGATCAAATTTTCTTCGACTGAAATACAAAAAAACTGACTTTATTTCCAAATTATTGACAAAATGGTACGACATTTTATGTATGTAATTAAAACTGATATTTTGCTGGTGAAATAAATTCTATACAATGTACATTTTTGTATTTTTTGTATTGTAAATACTTTCAATTTGGTATACACGTGTGTTATTTAAGCAGAATACTATTAAGATAAAAATGTATAACATGAAATCAGAACTCATTCAGTTTGATATTTCTTCTTACTTTTCACAATCAAATACTGTATTAAAATTGGGTGACTTCAAGGGCAGGAAGCGGGACAAATGTATAATTAAATTAAACAAGAGCCACCGCCGAGCGGGGGCAACGCTCGACTTTTTACTTTTTCTAAACGCAAACATAGAAAGGTTTGAACATATCTTAACGTTTCCTTTTTATAAAATTAGTTGGTCTGTCTTGTCACATTAGTTTTGTTTATATATTTTGTATATATATATGAATAGAAACATTACGCAATTTCTAAAAATAGCAACATGACGCAATTTCTAAAAATAGCAACATGACGCAATTTCTAAAAATAGAAACAATGACGCAATTTCTAAAAATAGACACAATGACGCCATTTCTAAAAATAGAAACAATGACGCAATTTCTATAAATAGAAACAATGACGCAATTTCTAAAAATAGAAACAGTGATGCAATTTCTATAAATAGCAACAATGAAGCAATTTCTAAAAATAAAAACAGTGACGCAATTTCTAAAAATAGCAACAATGACGCAATTTCTATAAATAGAAACTATGACGCAATTTCTGAAAATAGCAACAATGACGCAATTTCTAAAAATAGCAACAATGACGCAATTTCTATAACTAGCAACAATGACGCAATTTCTAAAAATGGCAACAATGACGCAATTTCTAAAAATAGAAACAATGACGCAATTTCTAAAAATCGCAACAATGATGCAATTTCTATAAATAGAAACAATGACGCAATTTCTAAAAATAGAAACAATGACGCAATTTCTAAAAATAGCAACAATGACGCAATTTCTAAAAATAGCAAAAATGACGCAATTTCTAAAAATAGCAACAATGACGCAATTTCTAAAAATAGCAACAATGACGCAATTCCTAAAAATAGAAACAATGACGCAATTCTATAAGTAGAAACAATGACGCTATTCTTGTTGTTGTTGTTGTAAATATATATATATACACACACACACACACACACACACCAATAAATATATAATTATGGTCATTTAATGCACAAATCTGAGAAAATCCAGTAATTTAACCTTCAAGGTCAAGGTTATTAAAGAGCCCAAGCAAATTTGGGTTTGATAAACAACGAGGTCTGGTCCTTAAGAATGTTCTGTTATAATATGAAGTTGATCCCTTCAATAATAGCAAAGTTACAGTCAGTTACCGCCATAACAATGAAAATTTCAATAATTTGACCTTCAAAGACAATGTCATTAATGAGTGAAGGTCAAGGTCTTTCGGTATATTTTTAACAGTTATCTTTGAAGATTATTATGTTCAAGTTTCAAGACAATTCATTCAAAAATAACAAAGTAACAGCCAATAATAGCCAAAAAAATGAAAATTTCAATAATTTGACCTTCAAAGTCAAGGTCATTTATAAGTGAAGGTCAAGGTCTGGCGGGTTATTTTTAAGGGATATCCTTGAAGATTATTATGTTCAAGTTTGAAGACAATCCATTCAAAAATAACAAAGTTACAGCCAATAACAGCATGAACAAGTAAAAAATTGGACTTTTAACCTTGAAGGTCAAGGTCATTTATGGATGAAAGTCAAGGTTAGTGTGGTCTACTGAAAGGTCTTGTCCCAAGGGTTGTTGTGGCCAAGTATGAAGACAATACACAAAAAAATAAAAAAGTTATGATCCAGGTACAAGTTTGCGGACGGGAACGGCAACGGCAACGCCGACCTGACTATAACAATACCTCTACTTTTTTTTTCAAAAAAAAAAAGTCGAGCTAAAAATGAACGACATTCGGCAGGCAATAAAATCGTTCCACCATTTTACACTAAAAATTTGGTTCCACCATTGTACTCATATTTTAAAAAAGTGTACGACTCCGTTATATAACTTTATAATTGATGGAAATTGTTTAAGACAGACTTACAATTGTGCGAAAGATGTTATTGCCAATTTTGCTCCTCAAAATGCATTTCAATCACTGAAAGTACCTGTTACCTCATTGTACTCAACACCCAAAACAACTTTTTCGACTCGACTTTCAGGCCTTAACAAAGAGAGCTACAAAGTAAGCAATAATAGAACAGTATGAGGTTTTTATACAGGTGTTCCGTGCGGCCTAGTTTTACATATAAATTTAAAGTTAACTGTAGGCTTTATATCATAATGGAATAAATATATTTCTTCTTATTACAAAAAGTTATAATTGTTAACATAAATTCCAAGTTCAAGGGGGAATAATTCTGGAAAATGTCACACTAGAGTCCTGGACCTTGTCACATAACATGTGTGTAATGATAAGAAATGTATATTTGAAGTTTGAAGTAGGCCCCTTAAAAAGTAAAGAAGTTATAATATTTCTTAAAGAAAATACTTAGTTCAATGGGAGATAAATCTGAAAATATAAGAGTTATGAACCTTGTCACATAAGATGTGGTTAGTGATAAGGAATATGTATTTGAAGTTTGAGGTAGACACCTTAATGGGGAGATAATTTTTGTAATATTGGTGCTAGAGTCATGAACCTTGCCACATAAGATGTGGTTAATGATAAGGAACATATGAAATATTAAAAAAATAAAAAAGTTACAGTAAAAAAAGTATTTCTAAGGAAAGTTTAAGGGGGAGATAAATAGGAAAATATTGGTGCTAAAGTTATGAACCTTGTCATACAAGATGTTGTTAATGATAAGGAACATATATTTGAAATATGAAGTTGATCCCTTAAGAAATAAAGAAGTAACATTAAGAAATAATATTTTTAAAGAAAATTCTGAGATCAAGGGATGATAATCTTAATATATTTGTGCTAGGGTTATGAACCTTGTCACGTAAGATGTTGTTGATGATAAGGAACATATATTTTAAGTTTGAAGTTAATACCTTAAGAAATGAAAAAGTTATAGTAAAAAATATTTTACTGCATCAAAACTTTGATCTGAAATCTGGAAGCGGGCGAGTAGGACAGCTCTCCATATACTTCGTTAATGCTATATAGTCGAGCTAATGATACATAAAAATCATTAGCAAGGCAGTAGGAAATCCCCAGGTAAGGCAGAAAATGTCGCATATATCTTTTCAACAGAGGTAACGTTCGATTCTTCGAATTTTCTGGAGCATTTTCTGGAACACGGAATATTGTCTTGCACGTTTTTTTCTCACAATGTTCCATTGTTTTTATATTTTGCATGATATATTTAACCCTTGATGCTATTGTATCTCTATGATAATAAATATGTTTACACAAATGCACAAATTAAATTATCAGTAAGTGTACTATTATCTGAATGACCGATGGTCAGTTATAACCATAAAACTATTGAATATAGAACAGTTTTATTCTCAGTACTAGTGCAATTGTTTACATGTTAAAGCATTCTATAAAGTCTACACCGAGTTTAACCCATGTGACTAGAGAGCATATCATATTAACAGTAAATTCATTAGTAACCTATTACTAAGATTTTACCCTCTGCTTTCGTTGACATCAAAATCAATATATTTTTTTTCGTAGATGATTACTGTGGTAATTGGTGCAATTATCCGAGGGTCAAGAGATGGAGGCGCATAGGAATTTTAGTTGTCACAATCTCTCAAATAGCGTCCATTTCAATTATTAAATGATCCGAAAAACACGTCATGGTATGGAACATAATTAATGCATTGATTCTATCTTGTACGATGACATTTGAATTTGCATTATGCTTGATTTCGTCTTGCTTTATTATATTTGAAATATGCATTATTATTAATTCCATTTTGCATTATAACATTTAAACTTGCGTAGTGACTATAATTCTTTCATTGAGAGATAACCATTGAACTTGCTCAAGCCATTTATCGTGCTGTTTTGGGATTTTAAAATGTTCACGTCATATTTCTTTATGTATAAGCTACTTTTCTCCATGCTCTATACAAACTATTTACGGTTAAATTCATTTTTGTATTAAAAATCGACTTTTTTTATTCTCTACTTCCATTTGTTCACCGACAATTACATGATGGATTTTGGTAAACGAAACTTAATTATAAGATTTATTGCTCGCATGGCGTGATTACTGTTAGCTTTCGCTGATTTCCATTATTCAGTGTTTATGCTAAATAAAGTTCAGTGTCTGATGCTTTGTGGATCATGTTTGATCATCTGACAATGTATATACCCAATTTAAACAATGTATAGCAATTGTGAACTGTTAAAGGGCGACAATTCTATTATCGAGCTCTCATCGGAATTTTCTGTACAGGAACTGCGGTGAACATACAACGGTTTTTTTGTCGAACATATAAATACGTAGCAAGCACTAAATATATAAACTGCCCCCCCCCCCCCCAAAAAAAAAAAAAGAAAAAAAAAGATCAATATCAGAAGAAATGATTATGCAATATAATTTTATATATGTATGTATACAGTATAATAGAAAAAAATACTTCTGGGGTTATTAAATGGGGGTACTTATTCGGTGGCTGATTCAAGGCTCTGCCAGAATATACGTTCATGAGCTGGGCTGGAATATAAACGTTTCAGATTCACCCAATGCATTGGATCGGAACAAATGTTTTCCACTGTTGACGGGCTAGGTCCTAGATATATTTAAGCCATTGTTACCATCACAAATTAAAAAATTACTCGGCATTAACCTGTTCAAAGGCAAAAATGGTACCAGGATCGATAAAAGTTACCGGTTTTTTTCTGACGTCTATGTCATTAATTTCTCTGAAATGTAACACTTTTAGCGACCCATCAAGCAAACAAATACTTTCTTTATCATGAAGCATGTTATACATTTTATTAAATATACGACGGTATATTTTATCACTTAATCATATTTATTTCATACACAAATACGTGCATTTCGATGCTCGTGTTAAAATAAAATTCATATATAATAACAAAAGGAATATCTATTTTCAAGTAAATCTAACACTGGCACATATGATACAAACAGCACTTGGTCAATAGAAACTAGATTTGTTATTTTATAACGTAATGAAACAATAAGTAGTTTTAGCGAAATAATTTAAAATAGTTCAAAATTCAAGTAACCTGTATTTAAAAAACATGAATGTAGAGGAATTTGTTTTAGTTTCGGAGGTGAATTCAGGTCTAATTATCATTGTTCATTTTACTCAGCATTAAAATAGAAAACGGGTTATAATTTTCTTTTTCAGGATAGCAAATGACACGTTTACTAAGCCTTTCATTCAATAAAATCAAATTAAATAAAATAACAATAAAATCAAAGTGGTGAAAGCACTTGATCCGTCGGACAATAAAAGTGAATTCCGCAAATGGTGTCACAAAGGGCCAGACATCAGACATGTTGCACTAAAATTTTGTATATTTACAAATGGCAGTAAAAACTCCTTTCCAGAGTTTTGTAGGGCTTGGATAGAGGCCTCCAATTATGATCTCAAGACATGTATTAGGTTTCATGTAATGTTTACAGTTTTCGTTCGCATATCTTAAAGTTTTAATGAATAACACCAGTACATACATGTCGGTCTGAAAATTAGTGTTGCTTGGAAAACTTTAACCACGAATTTTCACTAAGACTAAATCTATGTTAGATTCACGGGGTTCAGAGAGTGACCCCAATTATGATCTCCCAAGCATATACATTTGTGTTTGAATTCAAATTACTGCAAAACTTGTTCTAAAAATGGATGTTACACAATAAGGCTTGAAGGTTAATTGATATGTCGGGACTGGAAATCATTTTTTGAGATTAATGTTCCATTAGCTCAATAATATGTACGCAAACTTTAAGATCATTCGCTCACTCTGTTTGCACAGAATAATTAGTTGTAGTGAAATAAGTAGTTGCAAATGATTCATTCACACGGATGAACCTTCAGCATAGTTGAAACAATGTTATGAGTATACATGTAAATGATATTTACGATACATGTATAATCTAAAACTATCATCATTGAAAAATATAAACATGCATAGAGCTTTTATGTCGGAATGAAGAACACTTCCTAATAAAGACACGAACACCAACATCGTTATTGTCTTGTCAAGATTATATGGGTACTCAGTAATTGTCTTTTACAGAGAAATAAGAATTAAATAAACCACGTCATATGGTATTTTAATCTTACCTAGACATATATTATTTTGTCTGACTTAATAATTTTTAACTCTAATAACAACTGTGAACCTGTGAAATATAGTTAATACTGTAAGGGACTGTGAATGTTTATCAACTAAATTACTTTTAGGACCTTGTAATGGATATATCAGTTTAAAACAAATAATGTTTTATGACAATATGAACATCAAACTAGCATAATTTATTGACAAATGAGGTAATACTTTCAGTCAATGCTTAAAACTTACCTGCCAGGATTCCTGAACTTTACCTGTCAGGATTCCTGAACTTGCCTCAGCCATTCATATTTGCTGATTTTATGTGTTTAGATAATTTTCTGGTAAATGGAGGAATGAGGCATTAGGACTATATAGGAAATGAAGGAGATTTATACTTCAAGAAATGATGAATTTACTTACTTTGTTTATCCTGGTATCAAAATGGCCAACAAGAGTTGTCTACCTTGATTCAAAACTTAAGATGCATATATTTTCATAAACATATACAAATACTTACCATTTTACATGTAAGAACAAAGAATGTAATCTTTATTTACCTAAGACTTAAGTTAATTTCCAAATATTTAGCTGGTATTGCTGTATTTCATAATAATTTTGATGACCAGTATGACCTCTAAGTTTGTCAGGAGGGAAAATTCAAATTCCTGGCACTAGAATCTTTTTATATCAACAGTTCATTTTCCTAAGCTAGAACTATTATTATTTTTGGTCCAGATTTTTAGTACATTGAGTTAAGCATGTAATTCAAGTGTTCATTGCATATTTTGTTATTTGTTTACCATGTAAATTTACATTTTTCTAAATTATTCTTGTCAAGATGGCCGCCATTTAAGAAATTCCTGTCTTTCCTGCCAGTCTGCCAGGACAAATGGGTCATTATGATTGGTCAGTTTTGACAGTCCTGGCATGTTCAGAGTCTATATAAGTAGCCATGCCAGGCTGTCTTCACTTTTCTTTTTGGCTCCAAATCCTGACAGTCGTGAAAACTAGTGACAACTTAATAAATTGGTAATTTTCTTATTTTATACAACTGTCTATTATTTGTTATGAATATCTGGTGCTCTTCAGAGTTGAAAAAAGGGATTTTGGAACTTTGTTATCAATAAAAGTTATTATTTTCAACAGTTTTGACTTAGCTTACAATACTGTAGGATATTTTTCTTAGCAATGTCAATATTTGTTCTCTCAAATGCTTACATGTATCATTTATGAAAGTCGCTTTTATAGTCATTTTTCCAAAAAAGGGAAGGAAACAATTTAGTTGCATTTCACCTCTAATACCTGATAACTAGTAATTTTATAGGTCGTGCACTTCTTACACTACACAATTTTAACGAAATCGAAACAAGAAGGTATGTATTTTTCTAGATTTGTTTTTCGATGTTTTAAATCTTTTACACCTAACTGGTAAAGAGCAGTATGATATTGTTATTTATAGACAAATTCTGTATACTGATATGTGTAATTGTTTTTTTTTCCATAAATATTATACATGTACATACATGAAATAATTTTCTCATTTAATATGTACATTCATGGGCTAGAGTCTCTAAATTATTTCATGTATCTGTAAGAAATAAACTTAACATAATTATGCACACACATATTTAAGTGTGATATAAAATTTTCTTATTTCTAGATTTGATTTTGAAATAGAGAAATAGAATAAAATCTCTTACACAAGTTGAAACACGGACAGTGAATGGGACATCAGAATTAATTATTGAATATTATCCGAAATGTTATTCGTAAATATTGTTCAATAATGCAATGTTATCATAAGCCTTTAAAAGAACAAACAAAATGTATGCTTGCTACTTATTTGGGTTATTTATAAGGAGAAATATTAGATAAGAAATCAAATAATTTAGTGCCTCATTACCATTTACACCGTATTACGATCACGTGATTTGAGATAACATAAATAAGGGTGTATCAGGTTATTAAGTCAATTTTTAAAGCCGAAACAAGGCAAACGTAAGCATTTATATTTAGTCTTCTTATTTATAATTAAATTATGCATTCTATAAAATCACAAGACTGTACAAAATGGCAAAATGTAATAATATTATCTGTCATAAGATTAGTTTTACTAAAACTCACACTAAATCATAAACACACAGATAAAAGGTAACATGAGTTTAAAAAAATTGCTTATGATCAGTGTATAATACATGACAAAAGTTCATAAAAAAGGCTGTACGGGGAATTATCGAGTGCATTTTACAATAAATCTTATGTTAAAATACCTGTACAAGGAATAAGCAAACAGTAATTCTTATATTAAAATAAATGTACAAGGAATTATCAAGTGCATGATTCTATTTATGGAATCTTGAAAATATTTTCTTTCAAAATCACTGGTCTCCAAGAAGAATAGTAGATATTGTTTTTAACAGGATAGGAGAGAATAAAATGTATGTTCACAGTAAATATTTTGGATATCAACCTCTCTCAAACATGGACATTGATACATTGTATATATCTTTTTTTATCAAGATTCAGTTGCTATATTGTAAAGAATTTCAGTATTAAATTACATTCGATAAACAACTGAATATTGTACAGTTCAGCTTTCAAGAAAGATATAGACTTAGAATAGATAACAAAATATTTATTTCAGAATGGCAGAGGGAAGTAATTTTCAATCGTTAAAAGATGGTTCTGATGCAGATTTTGAATTCACTTGTACACCCTGTACAAGATACCATAGTCGACTTAATGCTACACAGCAACATAAACTGCTGGATAAAAGCGATGCTAAACAAGGTGTTGTTATTTCCAGGATTAAATGTCTTTTCCATCCAGACCGAGAAATTGAAATGTACTGCCTTAAACATGATATGGTGTACTGTCTCCTGTGTATTGCAACAGAACATAGGTAATGAATCTAGTATATATAATTATAACACATATTAGTAATTTTCTTTGATGACGTTTTGTTAATTTAATGGTTGATTAAGTTCCTCTGTAAATAAGATAAAACTAGCCTCCAGTTTTATCATATACAGCATATTTGAAGAACATTTTGGGACCACAAATACTTCCGGGAAAATTTTCAATTATGACGTACATAGGAATATGAAAGTTATATTTAAAGAATGATGAAAGATTAGCCGCATACTGTTCATTGTAACAAAATCAAAATGGAAAAGTTAATTACTGAAAGGTTTTACCAAAGGGACTGTGTATAACATAAATATTTATTCATGATAAAGCTTGCTGGGGACTTGGACGGTAGCTTTCAATACTACTAAATGAACAGGCTCAATCACACCGACCCTTTTCAGTTTTGTTGTTTTGGGCGTTCTTTAGAGAGTCTCTTATTGCTCTTTTTTTAATCAAAATTGCATAGTAAATTATACCTTCATAACAAATTGTAGGTCTTGTGAGGGAGTAAACAAAATTGAAGATGTGTCAAAACAATGTGTCACTCAAGCGGAGATTCAATCGCTATTAGATGGGACACAAACTGTACAAGACAAGATGAAGTCACTTACAGTTAAACAGAAACAAAATGTAACTGCAATAGAGAAAGAGAAGGAAGCTATTGAAGTGAAACTTGATGATACAGTGACAAAACTTATAGAACATATCAGAAAATCGAAAAGAGAGACAGCAAAATGTTTAAATGATAAATATTCTACATCGAAGGAGGAACTCGTATCTGCTATCAGTGTATCAAGTCGCACAGCTGAAGACTTAAAACAAACCGAGAAACAACTGCATACAATTGACAGTCTGGACTTAGAGCAGCAATTTGTCCGGATGAAATTGATGAAGAAAACAGTCCAAGGAGCAAACACTTTAATAACAGAAGGTGAGGCAGAAGTTACAAAATTTATCAATTTTACTGTAAATAAAGAGCTGACGGACATCATCACAAAAACAAATTCTATAGGTGAGGTGCATGTGACAACTGGAATTGTCGGTGAGCAGAAATTGAAACAGAGGGAGTACAAAATAAAGTCAACGAAAGAGATCAATGTGAAGCTGAGTTATGACAAATGGGAATGTTGCATATCTGATATATGTAGACTTTCTGATGATACGATCCTTTTGACTGATTATTACAATAACAAAGTGAAAAGACTCAACAGTAATGATAGTGTAGAAAACGTCTATGATTTTCATGCAAGAACTACAGGTATATGTAGTGTCAGTAACAGTGAAGTGGCTGTGAAATTAAACAATAATAAAATTCAACTTTTTTCCGTTGGCTCATCTCTGTCCAAAGGAAAGACAATAGATATAAAAAACGGTGGACAGTTTGGATTAACAATGTGTTGTGGTGATCTATGGTCATCAGCCTTAAATGGTGTTAACGTTTACAGTACAACATTTGATCTTGTTATATCTACCGTCAAAGATCAAAACGGGAAGTCTATATTTAAATCCTCAGTTCAGCATATGGCAGTCACTACTGACACAGTGATCGTGACAGATAGCTCTGATGGAGCTGTTTGTCTTAACAAGCATGGTGTGGTCATTAGAGAGATGAGAGACAGTAGATTGAAGTATACTCGAGGTGTATGTGTAGCTGATGATGGAACGGTATTTCTATGTGGATATCAATCACAAAACATCGTTATGTTCGACAGGGATGGTAAATGTCTCGGAGAACTAATGGGGAAAGATTCTGGCTTGTATACACCAGTCAGTATGTGCTTCGATGGGAGGAGATATAGGTTAATTGTTGGACAGAGCGACAGAAGCATTTTATTTGTAATTGAATTTGATTGCTAAAAAGTCGCAATACTATCAACTCCAACTGATAATAAAATAAAACTTTGATTAAATTCTGATATCAACTATCTTAAGAAATAACTTTTCTCAGTGAATGGCTATAATTGCTAAATTGGCATCAATGCTGTTAAGTATTTGATTGATATTGAAGGCGTCTATCATGTTAACTCTTACAAGAAAAACGAATTATTTAAAATGCTATTTACATGCACATTGGTTTTATTCTTTTGATGACATGTGTGAGTACTTATCGCTGTATAGAAAATAAAAAAATACGAGTAAACATTTAAAATATAATAAAATTCTTTGAAGCATCATTTTTTATTGCTCTATGAACAAGATAGAATGTTTGTCAATTAAATATTATATGATACAAATTCTTGTTAAAATTATATGATTTGTTTCAATTAAATTAAAAAAATAGAACTCTGTAATGGATATATTTTGCGAAATATTTGACTTTGATACAAAACGGACATTTATTTTTCCTTATCGTTTTAGGGTTTAAATGAACATGTATCAAATAACACATGACTTTTTGCATATCCGGATTTAATTTTTGTGATGAATGTAAGAAAATTTTGATAGTCGTGATGTTAAAATAAATTGTTATGTAAATATGTTCGAAATGTCGGAACATTATTGTAGATTCGTTAATATTCACGAAAGGAATACAATAATTTTGTCAAATTCACAAATGTTACTTACATGCTATAGACTTTGTTGCCATTTTTTAAATTCCAAGAAAAATACTTGTACAACTCGTATTTGACAAGAATAATATGGAGTAATAATCAAGTAATGAATGAAATGATACCATTTTATCCAGAACAACAATAATTACAATTAACGTATCAACTATGAAAAGTAAGATGTGTCACGCCTACGTGTTATGAAGTAATGTTTATATACTATCTAAATCATATGAATATAAATTCATATTAAATAAAGTATATGTATGTATACGTACGTGCGTGAATGTGTGTGTGTGTGTGCTAAATAAAGTGGTAGAAGTTACCCCGTATGCGTAATTAGTTTTGTTATTTTCTTGATGAGAAATCGTTATACGTTCGTTTTACATCCCAAACAAACTGAGAACTTTCTTCAAATAAAAAAATCATAAAAAGAGCCGTGTTCGAGAATCAAATCAAATCATCATTAATCTGGCCACAAAGATATGCACTGTCCTATGGAAGCATTTGAATTTCGCGAATTTGAAAAATGACATAAAGGTGTATTATACACGCCTTATTTAAATTCCTTCTTCATTTCAAGTTACGAATAAACAAAAATCTCTCTATATATAATCTGTATACATTCTTTTGTATAGTTAAATATTTTGAGCTTCAATACAATATAAATATATCGAAACATTTTTTTAACAAAATAGATAGTTAAAACAAACAAACGGATTTCTCTGAAATACATGTATATGGCAATATTAATTGTTTTTCGGAACAACATTTGAGTGACCTTAAAATTTAACTAGAACGGCGGTTAAGGTGAAAACAAACAAGACATTAATCGCTCACTTAAATACCTTTATTAGAAAAAGTTATAATTTCTTTGATGTAGAAGCAGGTGAATAGTTCACATTCAAGGTTACCGAGAAAATGGTATGACATTTTATGTATGTAATTAAAACTGATGTTTTGCTGTTTAAATAAATTCTATATACTGTACATTTTTGTATTGTAAATATTTTCAAATTGGTATACACGTGTGTTATCAAAGTAGAATAATATTAAGATGAGAATGTATAACAAGCAACCCGAATTCATTCAATTTCATACTTCTTCTTACTTTCACTTTCAAATAAAGTATTATTATATTACTATATTTGCATAACTTCAAGGACAGGAAGCGAGAAAAAAGTATAATTTAATGAAAAAAAAAATATGGACGACATTGGGCAGGGGCAATAAAATCGTTCCACCATTATACTCATTAAATTTGGTTCCACCATTGTACTCGTTTTTTAAAAAGATGTACAACTTTCGTTATGCAACATTACAAATGATGGAAATTGTTCATGACAGACAAACTTACAATTGTGCGCAAGATGTTATTGCCAATTTTGCTCCTCACTGAAAATACATGTTACCCAATTGTACTCAACACCCAAACAACGTTTTCCAATTTTCAGGCCTAAAACACAGAGAGAAAGTTACAAAGTAACCAATAACAGAAACAGTATGAGGTTTTTATACAGGTGTTCCGTGCGGCCTATTTTTACATATAAATTAAACGTTAACTGTTTTACCGTTTTACCGAACTTTATGAGCCCATTGTACAATTTTGGTCACATGATCATCCTAGGTGTACCTTACAACAGCATTAGCTTGTATAGGTTCATTTTATCTGGGTTTTTCCATTTGAAACAAAAGTGAAAAGGCACAAGAGAAAAGTGCATATGTTGTTTTTGTTTGTTTGTTTTTTGTTTTCTGATTTCTATTAAAAGAAATATGAAATTGCGATAAAACAACAGTTATAATATATGGAATTCGTTAGTTACGGGGGTATAATATTTGCTGGTATGACATCTCGGAATGTTTCTGCAAAAGAAATTGTCTCGGCCTAACGGCCTCGACATTTTTTTTAGCAATAACACACTTCGATGTCGCTCCTACTAGTGTTATATCCTCGCAACTAACTCGTTTTATATAAATTAGCTATTACATAACAAAATGATACATAAAAAATCATTGCAATATATGCAAAGCAGTAGAAATTCCCCAGGTCAGACAGAAAATGTCGCATAAAATATGATATATCTTTTCCAACAGCGGTAACGTTATTTTTTTTTAAATTTTCTGGAGCATTTTATGCATTCGGAATATTTTGTTGCACATATTTTTACTCAAAATGTTCCGATGGCTTTATATTTTGCATGATACATTTATTCCTTGATGTTATTTAATCTCTATAGCAAAATGATGTTTACACTGTAAGCAAATTAACTATGAATGCTTAACAAAAATGTTCAGTAAATACATTATAGTTCACATTCAAGGTTACCGAGAAAATGGTATGACATTTTATGTATGCAATTAAAACTGACGTTTTGCTGTTTAAATAAATTCTATATACTGTACATTTTTGTATTGTAAATATTTTCAAATTGGTATACACGTGTGTTATCAAAGTAGAATAATATTAAGATGAGAATGTATAAAAAGCAACCCGAATTCATTCAATTTCATACTTCTTCTTACTTTCACTTTCAAATAAAGTATTATTATATTACTATATTTGCATAACTTCAAGGACAGGAAGCGAGAAAAAAGTATAATTTAATGAAAAAAAAAATATGGACGACATTGGGCAGGCAATAAAATCGTTCCACCATTATACTCATTAAATTTGGTTCCACCATTGTACTCGTTTTTTAAAAAGATGTACAACTTCGTTATGCAACATTACAAATGATGGAAATTGTTCATGACAGACAAACTTACAATTGTGCGCAAGATGTTATTGCCAATTTTGCTCCTCAACTGAAAATACATGTTACCCAATTGTACTCAACACCCAAAACAACGTTTTCCAATTTCAGGCCTAAACACAGAGAGAAAGTTACAAAGTAACCAATAACAGAACAGTATGAGGTTTTTATACAGGTGTTCCGTGCGGCCTATTTTTACATATAAATTAAACGTTAACTGTTTTACCGTTTTTACCGAACTTTATGAGCCCATTGTACAATTTTGGTCACATGATCATCCTAGGTGTACCTTACAACAGCATTAGCTTGTATAGGTTCATTTTATCTGGGGTTTCCATTTGAAACAAAAGTGAAAAGGCACAAGAGAAAAGTGCATATGTTGTTTTTGTTTGTTTGTTTTTTGTTTTCTGATTTCTATTAAAAGAAATATGAAATTGCGATAAAACAACAGTTATAATATATGGAATTCGTTAGTTACGGGGGTATAATATTTGCTGGTATGACATCTCGGAATGTTTCTGCAAAAGAAATTGTCTCGGCCTAACGGCCTCGACATTTTTTAGCAATAACGCACTTCGATGTCGCTCCTACTAGTGTTATATCCTCGCAACTAACTCGTTTTATATAAATTAGCTATTACATAACAAAATGATACATAAAAAATCATTGCAATATATGCAAAGCAGTAGAAATTCCCTAGATCAGACAGAAAATGTCGCATAAAATATGATATATCTTTTCCAACAGCGGTAACGTTATTTTCTTTAAATTTTCTGGAGCGTTTTATTCGGAATATTGTGTTGCACATATTTTTACTCAAAATGTTCCGATGTCTTTATAATTTGTATGATACATTTATTCCTTGATGTTATTTTATCTCTATAGCATTATCGATGTTATTTTATCTTTATAGCAAAAAATGATGTTTACACTGTAGGCCTATTTATTATGAATGCTTAAATGTCCAGTAAATACATTATAATTACCTATTTCTAAGATTACATCCTATGCATTTACTGTTGACATCAAAAGCCAATCTGTATTGTTTTTGTAGAAAATTACGGTAATGGGTTGCAATTTTCCCCGGGGGACCCAGGTTTTCCCCTCAAAAAGATACACGCGCACGGTTTTCAAAATTGACAAACGCGCCCGGCTACTGTGAAGCTCCCAAAGTGGGGAAACGGAAAGCCCACTGGAGAGTTTTCCTCGGGAAAGGGGGCCTCTTTTGGGCCCAAAATTTTGAAAATTTTTTCCCAATGCTTTTGGGGGTATTTTTGATGAAATTAAGACATTTTTTCAAAAAATTTTTGTTTTAAAAAAATTTAAAAAATATTCCCATTAAACTTGAATGTCGGGGGGTTTCCCTCATAATCTAAAATGGCCCTTTTTTATTTTTAAAATTTAAATCCGAAAAACACTCAGGGAAATTTTTAAAATCGTTTGGGCCCAATGACATACGCAAACTCTGCTCATTTTAGAAATTTTAAAAAATTTTTTATTCCCAACTTTTTTTACATAAATACATGTACTTAAGGTTACATTGATAATACAAAAAAACAACAACAACAACAAATATTCACAAACAGATTTATAGTGTAAATGGGTCGCGCTAAAAGTTATAAGAACCTTAGCAACAACCCTCCCCGCAACGTCAGTGTTGAAGATATCATATTTATTTTGGTATTTTTCATACTATTTTTAAAGGCTAGTTAAGAGAAATATTTATTTTATGCTTTTCAGTGGATTACTGATTTATCCGTGAAAATTATATTTGGTAATTTCACAGTGAAAATTATCAAAATATTATTTCACTTTTTTTCAATGACGAAACTACTTTTTAAAAATTTTCCCCATGTGGTACCTCAATTTTATTTTTGCTGACAATTCAGACAATGTCAGGCTGTTTAAAGAAAAAGGAAAGCTGAAATTGATAAATACCTTAAACGTCAAAAGTAATAAAAAGAAGAAAACTTACTTCTATTCATTCAAATTCCAATCACCAAATTTCGTCTCTAAATTTTTTGTTTCATTTTTACAGTCTGAAAAATACATTCCTTCCACATGCAAACTGCTCTTGATGACATTTGGGCATATTAAAGTATCCTACGAGTAATAACTGCCGTATGCTTTATGAAAAAATTGAAAAGCAATGACAGCTACAGCTCGTAGAACAAGTAAACCAACCCAGCGTTCCGAGCAAGTTCCAAGTCTTCCATTTTCATAGCTGCTTGTTTCATGTTTTCACATCTGTCAACACTTAATTTTTGTCTGTTTCAATCCTCAAATATGTTTTCTTTCTTTTAAAAAGGTGTACGACTAACAATTCCAAATGATATCCCTCTGAATCAAACACAAATTATTTTCCTCCCGTGAAATACACAACTTTAAAAAATGGCTGCCGCTTACATTTAACAAAGCCAGGTCTAATATAAATTCGCAGTAGGTAACAGAAATATGGATGGATGGTTGGAATTTTCTCCTACACGAATTGTTTGTTTTTCTTATTAAAACAAGCGATCATTCATATTTTTTAAACAAAATAAATAATATCACTGTCATTTAATGTTGATTGTCGGACTTATTTTTCAGCTCAAGACTTCTTGTTTTTAATGAGAAATTCGCACGAAATGGGGCTCTCAATGGGGATACAGATTTTAATATTTATGTTAATATTATGGACATTTCGTTTAAACTTGTTTTTTAGCATAAAATAAAAAGAAAATTTGTTTGTTTGTTGTGTAAGATGTAATTTTTATTTCATCTCGTGAACTTTAAAAACAGTATTCTCACTCGTGGCTACGCCACTCGTGAGAATACTGTTTTTAAAGCCCACTCGATGAAATAAAATTTCATCTTACACACAAACAAACAAATATCCTCTATATAATTCATTAATAAAGTAAGCGGAGTCTTTCAAATAGTTCAATCGAAACTAGCAGAAAACTTTGATATTTGAATAACAGTTAAACTTTCAAATTAACGTTTGTTTGTTTGTTTGGCTCTAGCCGAATAGCAAGCCAGAAAACCGCACCATAAAAATAAAGGGAACAATTTAGTTACGTTGTTTATTGATCAGATAGTCCCGTTATACCCCAAATAATGGGAGATAATCCGGAATTCACTTAACATTATAATATTCACATACTTTGTTGAAACCGAAACAAGAAAGATTAAGAAGGTAGGTGAATTGATATTTGTAGTGGATTTAAAAGTTATTTACATGTACAGTGTGTGTTTCATCTTTAAGCATTAATCTGCTAATATCTCGCCATTGAATGATTTTTTTTCCATTTAGATCTAGAGACATCCGTTTAGGCGCCAAATATGCAGAGATGTGCCGGGATTTCCTAAAAATATAAAATCAGGTCAGTTTTTTAATGTATGACTAACTTGTCTACGTAATGTAAACACGTGTTGGAGTTATGTTTAAAGTTAGTTTTAATGAAAACTTGGAAGATTAAATAAAACGACGATAGGAAGGGCATTTTACTTGTGATTTTGTAAGTTATTGTCTAAACTGCAAGTATGATGCGAGTTATTGTTTTTTTCTAGAATCCTATTTATTATTTTAACACTTTAGACAGAAGTCTAATAATAGAAAATATATAGGCAAGCATCTTTGGTGGGTTTTTTGCTGTGTATCCCATGCTAGCTACTACATTGTAAAATTTTTACAAAAAATTTTTAAAAAATTTTAATTTTTTTTTAAATCTATTTTGTACTAAACTCTTGTAGTTATTCATTTTCGTCAGATTTATTTGATTTTGATCGTTTTTTTAAAATAAAATATTTATCAGGGGGTTTTTAAAGCGGTAAGATATTTTCATTTTCGATAAACAGTTTATTTTACTTGAATGTTTCTTGGGCGGGGAAGTTTGATGATAATGACTTTTTAAATCCCCAGTAGATCCCCCAGTAGCTCTAATTTAAAAAAGGACTTTTTTCCGAATCCTTTTTCAAAAATGAAAAACCTTTTTTTTCCCTTTTATTTAAAAAATTGTTTTTCTTTAAATTCCCTTTTCGTATAATTTCATTATTTAATAATTTTGATATCATATGCTCCAAAAATCTGTTAAAACCAAATAGCTCCATAGAAGTGCTTTAAGCGACTGGTAGCCACCTTCAGCCGCCGCTGACTGTTGTATACTACCGTTGATATAGGGATTGTCATGAGGGAATCACGAAACTTAGAGCGTTATCTCTTGTTTGCCTTTATCAAAGAATGTTATATTACACGTATTGAAACATAAGGTATTTCAATAATTTAAAATAGTGATGTAAAATGGCAAAAATTACAAATATTAAGAAAGGAATTTTTGTTTTGTATCGCTTGGTAGCGTGATTTATTTTATGCAACGGTGTATGACTGAAATTTAAAGTCATGCATCCCCTACTGCGGAGCAATTAAGGAATTAAATGCATTAACTTCAATTCCAATTTTCAATTTTAATTGCATGAAACATTATACAATGTTTATAGCAAATTGTCAAAATAAATGTGTTTATTGTATTGCAACCTTACTAAACCACTTCACTCTTGCACTCAATTTATAATCAAGATAACTTACAAGTTTTCCGGTTGTAAATAATGCTGTGCATTGCTGATATTTATGCAAACAGAAACACATACTCGGTCATCAATGTATATTATAATATTTGTAATTTAGCCCTTTGAGAATATATCGGAATGTAGAGCATCACCAGTACATTTAATATACAATTTATACTTTAATCTTCATATCTTGTTATACAATTTATACTTTAATCTTCATATCTTGTTATACAATTTATACTTTAATCTTCATATCTTGTTATACAATTTATACTTTAATCTTTATATTTTTTTATGTATTCAAAATAATATAAATAAAACCAACTGGGGCAAGGAGAAAATCTTACTCTGATTATATAAAGATAAATGAGTTTTTAAAATTAGACACAGTTTTATACGAATTACATAATAGCTATTCAAATACATGTATGTTTATTCAACATTCAAGTCAGTCTGCAAGTCTTTAATATTTTTATTTACAACAAAATCATTTTCGGTCATAAAGTGTTAGAACAGATAAACTTTTGACATGTTAAATAGTGTTCGCATTTTTTAGATATTGAGCCGTCAACTTAAATTTGGTGTATGTTGTCAGTTGATATTGACCAACGTCTGATGTTTTTACATATTTATGTTTAAACTATCTCCTTAATATACAAATGTAGCTAATTTTGCAAATATAAAAAATCATGATAATGAAAACGAAGATAATGATGAAGGTCGAACAATAATAATTAACAGCAATAACAAACATGCCAAAAGTATATTAAGTAAAATTTAATTCCTAAAGCTGTTTGTTTTGTTACGCAGAATGGCTGAAAGAGGGGAACTTGAAATAATTCAGAAAGGTCATGACTTGGATCCTACATGTACACCTTGCAGAGATGAAAATATGAGAATTGAGGCGTTTTATTATTGTTCTGAGTGCCAAGAGTACCTCTGTACACGCTGTGGAAGACAACATAGTCGACGAAAAGCTACGAGTGATCATGAACTACAAACTGCTAAAGTCTCCACTGACAGGAAGACATTGACTTCCAGGACTAAATGCCGTGACCACCCGGACCGTGACATTGAGATGTACTGCAGCACGCATGACATGGTATCTTGTGCATTGCTCAAGAACATAGGTAATCATTTTTTTCTCTGTGCAGATTACTAATTATTTACTGTTTCTATTTAACTATTGATATGCTGTACACAATCTAATATAAACACATGTATATCTTAAGCACAATATAATGATATCCTTTTAATTATGTGAACATTTGTCGTAATGTTTTTATTCTTCGATCCAGAAATAAAAACGCTCACGTTCTTCGAATGTCATCTTATCGAATATATAATTCCGATTGTGTTAATAACCTTTTCTATATATTGAATGATAGACAAAAAACATCGTTTTTTTTTATTTTTGAACCCAATGCAGATTAAAGAATATTGTGTATACAGATAGATTTATAATTAACTATATTGTAGATCGTGTGCTGATGTAAATGCAATAGGTATCCTGACAAATGTAGAGCTACGACAATCAGACATAGACTATCTCATTTGACGAATCCAAAAGTGCATCAGAATGTTTGAAGTCTGATATACTTGAACAACAAAATAATATTACTACCTTGAAGGAGCAGAAACGAGAAATACAAGACAAACTGAACAAATCAGAAAGTGAAATGATTAAACACATAGCTAACCTAAAACAGGAGAAGGCTAAGACTCTTGATGAAAAGTACTCTCAGTTAAAAGGAAACATTGAAAACGATATGAGCTCTTCCTTAAACACAATAGGAGCATTAAAGGAGATAGAGGAAAAGCTTAACTCCGTCACCAACTTGGAACCACAACAAAAATTCATTGAGATAAAGATTATGAAGAACTGTATTAAAGATGCTTACACGTTACATGCAAGAAGTACATTTAGCGGGCCAAAGTCAATCATGTTATCTAGTAGCGGCGATACTGTAAACTTACCGTCGGCACCTTTTTCTTTCGGCGAGATAATCACTGTGGAAAATAGCAGACAAACATCCAATCCGAAGCGTTATAGACTGGAATCGAAAGTAGAGATAGATATCAAATTGAAAAGTGACAAAGCGACGTGTACAATTACAGATATTTGTCAACTTCCAAATGGTGTTTTTATTGTAACTGATCAAGGAAATAACAATGTAAAAATGCTTGATATGAACTATAACCTAAACGATTCCTGCGGGGTAGGTGCGGTACCAACTGGCATATGTTGTACTGGGAAAGAATGAAGTAGCGGTAAAGTTAAACAACAAAAGTATTCAATTCATATCTGTCGGTTCATGTTTTAACAAAAACCAAAAACGTTTCAATTAAGAGTGGAGATTATTATGGCATGGTGTATTGTGATGGTAATCTATGGTTGTCTACAAGCAAAGGTATCAACGTACACTCTAGAGACGGAACTCTTATCAATACAATTGAAAAAGATTTGAATCACATGGCTATATTCAAAACAAGTACGATTCAGCACAATGGCTGTCGCTGCTGAAAAAGTAATTGTGACTGATTTCTCTGATGGTGCTGTTTGTCTTTGTAAAGATGGCAAAGTGTTGGCAGAACTAAGAGATGAACGTCTGAAAAACACAGATGGTGTGTGCGTCACATGTAACGGTACCGTTTTTTTCTGCGGATATAGCTCCAATAACATCATTATGTTTAGTATTGATGGAACATGTTTTGGAGAGTTGGTTGTTGCAGAATGCGGACTGAAAAATCCAATCAGTTTGTGCTTTGATAAAAATCAAAATAATATACTTGTTACATGTAACAGGTCAAATGCAATTACTTTAATTGAACTCGGTGTTTAAATGGTTATCAACACGATACAAATTATAAGAAGTTTCATTGTACATATATATTTGTAGGAAGCATACAGAAATAGAAATAATTTAGAATGTCACCCTCAAGAGCATTTAATCGACTCATATACAGGTGTTAGTCCCATGTTAACAGGAGAAACAATACATAATTACAAAATGTATTATAATTTGTGAAATAGTGTTTTTTAAATTTTGTGAAATGTAAAATGTAGCTTATATCTTTATTTTCTTTGGACTGAACGTAGCCTGTTTTTCGTTCACCTGGCTTTATCTCCCATTAAATCGTGTTTAATATTATTCTATTATTTCAAAGGGAATGCTTTTTATCATGCTTCCGAAAGTATGATGTATTTGTTCGTCCGTCTGCAGCTCCGTAACACTCAACAAAAGATCAATTGAATTGGATTGAAGAAATTTTATTGTAACTCCAAAGTGAAAGAGACCAGTGACAGGAAGTGCAGTATTTAGAAAATAATTTTACCTTGCTTGATTGTATTATTTTTCTCAAATAATACCTTAAAATGTTAATAAATGCTTGTCCGCAGCATCACACAGTTTTAGACCGCCGAGAGGAAGTGCAGTGTTAAATAAGGATAACTCTTAGTCTACATTGATTTATTTTTATTGAACTATCACCTTTTTTATTTCCGGTATTTAATGATGCTTGTTTGGAGAATAACTTAGAAAGTATTGTAAAAGGAATTTAATTTAAACTTCACAGTTTGACAAACACTAGTGAGAGGAAACGCAATGTATACCTTGTTTCTTTTTATTAACTCCCTTTAGGTCAGACTATTGTATTAATTTTCTCATAAACTTACATTTTAAGAAATTACCCCTTAACCTTGAAATTGATAAGTCATTCTGAAAGTGTATTTTTTTCTAAAAGAAAGTCATGCTTGACAAAAATGAATTTATTTTATATGGTTGACAGCCCAAATGTTTCGCAAAATGTCTTCAAAGATGATTTAATTAGCCCCCTTTTCATTGAAATTTAATGCTGATCACAAGGCTGACAAATAATTTTTATGATTTTTAGAATGCAAATATTCATGTGAAAAAATATCCTAGAGATTTATGAAACAGATATTTTCTTATGAAAACAATTTAGTTTCTTACTTGTAAATATCACATTTTCGTAGGATTATAGTTCGGAGGCAGTTTAGTCGAGGTCACTGGTGCTTAAAATAGACTTTTACACTATTGCTTACATACATACATATATATACATACATCTTTTGTTTAATGAGTGATATCTTTCACAGAGTAGAGGATACATAGGTCACCACTGTTAAAACTAGATCTTTTGCTTATTGCATTTTTTGACTGATGTCTATTATATTTGATTCGTTAATATCATGGGTTTTGGGTTTAGAAAATGGTCATTTAAGTCAAGGACAATGTCAGGGTTGCAAAACTGATAAAAAAGCTTTAAAATGCAGCCTTTTTTATTAACTAGCGTTTTTCAAATTTGGTAGTCAGATACCTTGTGATGTCCTGGAACTTATAGTGGAGTAAAGGTCATTGAGATTTAAAGTTCACTGGTGCTGAATGTTTTTATACTTCAACTCTTACTGTCTTTATTTGCGACTATGCATTAAAATACACTTAAAAATCTTATTGCTTGTTTGGTGAACATCTATCGCATTAAGCTATGTTTAACATGTATATGCATATAAAAAATTTAAGTTGATTGTACTCCAACATAAGATATTGTACATCCGTTTTATATTTCCGCCGTAACAAAATAGATATCCTTTGTTTTCAGAGAGTTGTTTGTCTGGTGAACAATAAAACATGACTTTTCTTCATTATGTGCGGGAATTTCTGTAAAACACTGTTTTCTGAGTTCACTACACCATGTTAATGATTTTTTCTTGGTTTAAACGAAGTGCATTAGAAACAAATTTCCCCTATCGTATTGTTATTGTTACGGTCCAAACAAACAGATTTCGCGCCTTATTCGGCACCTGATTTTGTTTCATAGTCGTAAATTTATCCAGCATTTGGACAACCGACAGTGAACGTGTGAGAAAAAAAAACAACATTTAATAGATCAAAATAAAAGATTTTTTTTTTTGAGGAATTATGTGTCAGATGTATGTGTTCCTTATTTTCTATCACAAGTGTTGTGTATGTACATAGCAGTTTATAAGATAACTAAATGTAATAAAGTTATGTATTTTATATGACATATGGTGGTTTGTATATTTTGTTGATTAATTCGCTTGTATGGTAATTTTTTCCATATTGCTTACAATATATTAAACATTAAAGTTATAACTTTTTAATTTTGTTATTTATTTACAATATGTCATGCATAATGTTTTGTGATCACGTTTTCGTCAGGGACGATTTTCGGGGACGTAAAGCAGCTTAAACATTGGTATGAATAAATAGCTTAGATATTTAAGCTATATCGCTTGCAAAAGATTTCTTTTGTCGCCTTTATGCCTTTGTAAAATTCCAATCAATAGACAAAATGAAAAATTGGGACTGAAAAATTCACGCTGTAAATTTTCTTTAAGAATACCGATGGTATTTTACGTATACAGTCTGAATTTTAAACTCTGGCTAAATCTCGCAAATCGGCTTTTAATAAAATGCGTCGGTGCCAAGCGAATATTTAGAGATATATTAAATGTGGCAGCATGGCATGGACGAGTGGTGAACTAATATTCTAAAGATTGCTGACCGTATGGGTTTCAATCCAATTTGTTTACTTGAGCAGAAACCTTTACAATGGTTTGTTACAGAAATAGATTTTAGAGTTCGGCTGTAAGCTTATAGCTTACTACACAATCGAGCTAATAAATTATGTTTAAACTAAACCAAGATAAGTGAAAAATTAAAATAACACGGTAAGATGATTAACACGAGCAACTTCTTTTGTCCATGGGTGCCTAAGGTGGACAACCTTGAAGCAATTTCCTGTCGCCTTCCGTGGCTTTGGTAAACTCACCAGGGACTATACATTATTCGTGTGAATTATTATCGGTCTTACGGAATTTCCAACAGAAGGGAGACTCTGTTCAATATACAATGAGTAATTTAAAACGATCATATTCAAAAAATACATCTATATAAGTCGTTTAAGTAATTTTAGAATTTCATCAAAAAACATGGTAGCAATTCATGTATAGTCTAGTGTGCCCTGCCGTACACTAGAAAGAATGTTTCACAGGGAGATATAAACACGTGTTTTGTCCCTATCACATATACTGGAATCTCTGTATACAGAAATGAGCAGCGTTGA